GATTCTTTACTAGAATTCTCTAATACTCTTTTGAAAACTCTTTCCTCTTGATAAATTTCATAGATAATCCTTTCTTTTTTTAGATAAGTTTCCAGTGTTTGAGTATCATTTATTTTGAAAATGTAAGGAGTAATTTTTTCACCTTGTTCCTTCTTCAAAATGCTTCTAATGATGCTGTAATTCTTGGGTTCCATAGTAGATCTGATGTAAATGAGTTTCATATTAACTATTTTTATATAGGAGTAGTACTATATATCACTTGAGAAACAGGACAGGTAACAAAAATGGAACATTATAAAATTGTTAATTGCATTACATTTGTGATGAATGACTAAATTTTGATTCCTGAAATTCTTAGTAATACCAATGTTCACTTTGTCTGATTTTGTTGCAGCATGCCCCATATTAGATAAGTACACGCTAATAAAAAATGTTATTTATGATTGATAGATGTTGGCCTTGTTTCTATTGTTCATGCCTCAAATAAGATAAATAAAAATTTGCTTCCAATATATACTTGATAAAACTTGCACACCTTTTCATAATTGGTTAAATGTTGGGTTAGCAAGATACACACAAGAATTTATTTAGTTGAAGCTTCATTAAAAAATAAAATTTAAAAATTTGTGTAATTTATTTGGGCCAATCAAATTTGCTTTTTTGCGTGATAAAATCAAAATATGATCAATGAAAATCATTACCAATTATAAGGATATCCACTATGCTGTTTAACACTCCTTTTTCACATTTAACATTCCAAAAGGAATTATTTTCGTATTTTACACTCCAAGAGGATTTCTTTTCACATTTAACACTCCAAGAGGATTTCTTTTCACATTTTAATATTTCATGTTCACACTCCAAGGATATTCTTGTTTAATCTCTAAAAATTATAAATACTGACAAGGATACTTCACTGACAGTACACTTTGCCAGCAGGAAAGAAATTCAAATTCAAACAATAAAATTAAAAATTATTAATATACCATTTTAAAACAAAACCCAAAATATTAATTATTATAAAATAATGTTTAGAAAAAATCAAAACATTGGTCCTTGTGCAATTGTTGATTGTAAAAATACACAAGTTATGTTCAGAAAAATAACAGACCTATCATTTCCAGTGTTGTGACCAGAAACTCTTTTGGCTTCCCGAAATGATTTGGAAAATGAACTTACACTAAGCAGAAAACTAAACCTAAACCTAAACATAAACATAAAATATTAACCTAAACTAGTTTCAGGTGGTTTCTGCTCCTGGTTTTCCCTAAACTCAGAGTTTCAGGTCACAACACTGATCATTTCACAAATTAAAGGAATATCCAGACTATGAAAGTGTGAATTATTTAAAACCTAATGATCAACTTTGTCATCCTCATTATATGAAATACATTGAACCAAAGAAACATAGGAAGTTAAATGATGAAACAAAAAATATAAATGAAAATATTCCTATAAAAAATATTGAGGTTGAATTTATGGAAGATGAAGTTCTTTTATCTGAAGAAAAACTTTAAGTTATTTGTTCAAAAAATTAATGAAATAGAATTAACAATTGAAAAAAATAAAAAACAAGTGTTTCCTTTGGAAATAAATGGTTTCGAGTCAAAGAAAATATTTACCTAGTGCAATAATTGCATTTGGCTTTTCCATCTACAACTGCCAAACATTTCCACACTTCACTTCTCGTTCTTCTTTTAACATATTACACTGTGCCTGTTGAAGAAGTTATTGAAGAGGCATCATCATTTTCAACAATGCAATTATTGTCATTCGTCATTGTTGTATTTATTGTTTAAATTTAAAACAATGAATTGTAAATTATATTTTATCATTATTAATATTAATATAAACAATATAATAGCCTTCATTTCAATGAGTTATAATTAATTTATTAAATTTGCATTACAACGAATTTTTAAAAATTATTGAAACACAATTGACATGATTGGAAATTTTGGTGTCTCATATATTTATTGAAATGAGTGAGGTCTGACTGTAATAGTATTAACAAACAGGAATTTTAATATAATTAAATTCTTTATCAATTAAAATATAAATTTAAAAATATTGATTGTAGAGTTTCTATTCGTAATTCAAATTCTTATTTGAATATTCGTTTATTCATTTTTTCACATTCAAAGAATAGAAATCCTATTATTATGACACTAAAAAAAAATAGGAATCCAGCCTTAGCAGTTGGTTGTCATTTTAAGTCAGTAATTGAATTGTGGTTGCTTGAGTGAAAGTGTTGTGATAATGTTGATCCTATATTTAATATTATAATATCCATCTCTAACGTCAACCCTGATAATAAGTGTCAGACTCAATAAAATTTTTCTTTCATAACTATGGAGTTCTCGCAAGTGAAGGTAATTTGAATAAGTTGGAAGGCTTTAGATAAGTGAAAGGCTTTAACACTCTTCTTGACAATAATGTGATTAATAAACTCCAGGGCAGTACCACCCTAAAGTTTATTTGTATCATTATATTATTGGTGATCAAGTCAGATTGGCCTAATTTATGCAAGGAAGATGTGAATGATTGTAATGTTTTAAATATTCAAGCCCTGAATATCTGTAACAAAGTGCTGCATATTGAATTGTTCCTGGTGTTTCCAGATTGTCCAAGGGCAGTTTTCCATGTGTGTATGAGAGAGCAAGAGCAAAGAGATCTTTGATGGTTATGTTCTTGTAACCATTTAATGTTAATAAGAATTACGCAAAACAAATATACCAACAAGTAAGGTTGTGGGAGAAACTCCTCCAGAAATCAATTGACAGAGTTTCGACAGGTTACACATTAATTGTTTATTAGAGTTTCGGCAGAGTTTCACATTTGGGGTTTTCACCAATCATCAGAGTTTTGACAGAATTTGTTGATAGTGAATATTTGAATGTTGATGAAGCATTAAACATTGTTAAAAATATTTTATTTGAAAATTCAAATAAATTATACAAATTAAATCTCACCCCAAAATTACCTGAATCTACTTTTTCTCCACTTCAAGTTGTTTCTGCTGGCAAGCATGGTAGGCCATCACATTTTCAAAATATTTTGGAATATATTCTCAATATGTATTAACAACAATAATAATGTTTATAATTACACATTTATCCACATTTGTGCATGTATACTTTACATTGCAGTCAAATTGATCACTGATCTAAAATCTAAAGGAGTAAAGTTTGTGAGATTAGGATTTATGGATTATTGCAACCTTCATAGAATTCGTCTTGTACCAATTGATAGATTCTTCAATGATGTAGTAAATAATGGGCTAAGTTGTGCTAAAGCTCTGTTTGGTCTTCCTTTCTATATGGATACTGTGTCAGTTGGCAGTGGAGTAGGTGTAGCTGATGAAATGTTATTATTTCCAGATCTTAATACAATCAAACAAATCCCATATCATCCATCACATGCTCACTGCCATGCCTTCATGAAAGAAAAAGATGCTTCTAGAAGTGGCTTTCCTTTATGCACAAGAACTTTACTAAAGAATGTTTTAGATAAGGCTGAAAAAGAACATGGATTAAAGTTTTTATGTGGGTTTGAAAATGAATTTATCTTGATTAAAGATAAATTATATCACCATCATCCTAAGAACAAGAACAAGAATGGTAGTAGTGATAAAGAAAGTGATGTTGATGGTAATGATTATAGAAATGAGCCAAAACCAATTGATAAAACAACTTATTGTTTAGCATCATCATTTTCTGGTAGATCAGCAACAATTCTTGATGAAATTGTGGAAAGCATTCAAAACCAAGATATTTTAGTGGAACAATTTCATTCCGAGTCTGCTTTTGGCCAATTTGAAATAGTCACTGCTCCTTATGATCCATTAACAACAGTTGATAAATTAATTGTAACCAGACGAACAATCTATGATGTTGCGAAATTAAATGATATCAGAGCCACTTTTCTGCCTAAACCTTTCAAAGATCAAGGTTTGGTGCTAATTCTATTCTGAATTTATTGAAATTATGATTTGGTATTTTTATTGATTTATATTTAATAACAATAATTAATTAATTTTTTTTCTTTTTCCAAAAAATTAGCTGCGACTGCTTCTCATTGCCATTTATCATTTAAAGAATTAAATAATAATAATAATAATTCTACTAATTGTGGCAACCATGACGATGATCTTTTGACTCCTATGGAAGAATTTTTTATTGCTGGTGTAATATCACATATTAAATCTTTGTGTGCAATTACTTTACCAACTAAAAGTTCCTATGATCGTATTACAGTTGAACATTCTTGGGCAGGGTCATGGATTTGCTGGGGTTATGAAAATCGGTAGTTATTTATATTTATATTTAATTTATTGATTTGGGGATATAAAATTTATTTTTTTTAAAACTAAAAAATAGTGAAGCACCAATTAGGATTTGTAAGAATTCAGTATCTGGTATAAATTTTGAATTTAAATTTGTTGATGCCACTTCAAATCCTTACTTGGCTGTTGCTGCAATAATTTCTGCTGGAATTGATGGAATTGTTAAAAAATTAGCTTTAAACACTAAACCAATCTCTAGTAAAATTTTATTATATTTTTTATTTTTTATTTTTTTATTTTCTATTTTTTTTTATTTTTTTAACAAAAATATAATTATTCCCATTTAATAATAAATATTGTTTAGTTGATCCTGGTCATTTATCTGATGAAGAGCGCAAATCTAATGGAATTGAAAAATTACCAGCAACTTTAAAAGAATCTTTAGACTCTTTAAAACAAGATAAAGTGTTGATTAAATGTTTAGGAGAAAAAATTATTCAATGTTATGTGGCCGTCAAAGAAGTAATTATCTGATTAACAATGATAATTTTATTTGTGTTTATTTAATTATTAATTTAATTAATTATTATTTATTTAGAATGAAATGAAGTATTTTGAAAACAAAGCTAAAGATTTATACAATGTTTTACTTGAAAAATATTAAAATGGATACTGTATTAGTATTACAAATGTCAACCTCTAAATTTTGTAATAAACTTATTTTAGAATTTTTCATTGAACGACAATTAAAATTGATTTCACCACAACATTCTTCAAAATTTGGCATTACTGACAAATATTGTGCTGAATCAATTTTATTTTATTTATTACATTCAGGAACTTTTTATCATTTAATGGAAAACTTTTTGAAAATGATGCTTGAATAGAGATGCTAACTATTCAGCTGGTTTGGTTTGAAAAACTGCAGTTGATGGTCCTGGAAACTTATATATTATATGTACCTGGTGGTAAAGTTTATGTTAAAATTCCCTGATGTTGCCAGCTAAGATATAGGCAAATTTAATAGAGACATCAAAAAAGGAAATATCACACATGAAATCTACCTGCCATGTGATATAATGGCTTTTTTGGTGACAATATTCGTTTTTAAATGATAAAATTGGCCAGTAGCATCTAATACAAATTTCGGGGTTCTGGTTCTATTTTTCACAGTTTAAGCTAAATTTCAAGCCACAGTTTAACTGTTCATTTTACTTGATTCATCCTTAATATATTAATTGTATTTGTTATTTTTTGACTAGTTTCAAATGCAACACAATTAATTAGTTATATGATCCAAAATTGCTGATACTCGTGATGTTTTATCTATCATATCCAATACACATCTAATTTATAATATATTGAATCCGCCAACATACAATCAAACCATGTCACAGTGGATTATAAATTAAATTCTTGTTGTAACGGATTTTTAAAAAAAAATTTCTTCATATAAAACATATAATAAATCCGTTGTGGTAAGATTATAATTAATAATCTTGTCACAACAGATTTAAATAAAATTTTCTTATGTGCCCCATTCATCCACTGTGACAAAATTTGACTGTATATTGTGTTGTGCTGAAGTTGTTCAATTGTTTTAAATCTTGTTTTAAAGAATCTACAATCACCAATTGTAGGTTTTGCTGATGACAATAATGCTGTATAAATTAGACCTAAAACCTCATGCACCACTTTTATAAAACAAATGCAACAGAACTTTTATTAATATTAACTAATTTATTGTTAAGTTTGGCTGAATAAATCATGTGTGATTTAAACATTTTATTTTATTTACAATATTAAAAAATGGAAAACTGTTACTCTGCACTGATTCAATAATTATTACACTAAAATTGATAATCCAAAAATTTCGCATTTTTAATTTCAATAAAATATTTGACCGCTCTTTACATATATATATTAATAAATATATATATTTCAAATCATGATACACATTTTTTATTATGCTGTTAAGATGTGTTAAAACTTGACAATTGAGTTTAATTATTGAATGAAAAAATGATATAAATGTTTTACGTTTAATTTAAAATCTCAATAGTCATATAATGAATCCATTACATAAGTTTATTATATATATATTCAAAGCATGGCACACATTTTTTATTATGTTACCTAGACATGTTAAAACTTGGAATTAGGTTTTGTTATCAATTGAAATTTTTTTTTGAAAATTTCGAAAATTTTTTACTTTGACTTTTAAAGCTAATAAAATTATTAATTGTATACAAATCATTATAAAACTCAAGTATGTTATGGGAATCATTACGAATATTGATTTTTGCTTAATACACAAAAGAGATTGTGATAATAAAATTTTGAGTTATTTTTATTTCACTTTGTTCAATTATTTCCGGCGATCTGCAAAATTGCCAATACTTATTATTATGGCAGGTGAGTGTATTTAAACCCTGTATATCTGTAGGATTTTACCCAACTATTTATAGGTTCATTATTAGTAGTTGTTATGGCTATTATTATAGCAATATGTTTTATTGACTTATGTCAATGAATAGCTTGCATTTCACCTATTTTATGTTGATGTGTCTAGTTTCATTATATTGCACCAAATTTCTTCAACATTTATTGATCAGCCTATTGCTCACAAGGATATCAATTAATTTAATCATCAAAACTGGCATGAATATTGATATAGACTAAGTTGATGCTTACTTTATAATTTTTTTCTTTTTTAAATATAAGTTTATATAAAGGACTGAATTTTTTCTTAGTGATGGATCAATATCAAAACAGTCAGTCTTGCCATTCAAAAAGAATGTAGTTTCGCCTTATTATTTAAACGTTCATCATTTTAATCTATTTGTTTAATAATAACTAACTAAAGCTTAGACTAAATGAAATAACAGTTATGATGATACTGTGCCTTTAATTTTTACCTTTTATATATCCATTTTTGCTTTTCAAAACATGAGCATAATAGTAGTGTTGTACAAAGATAACCCCTTTTTTTTGGAGTGTTGAAGAAGCATTCATTAATATTAATACTCTATTTTTTTTTAAATAGCCAAATTAACATGGAGCAAAACCTATCATTACATAGTAATAGGTAATTATATAGGATTCCTTGTTGGTAAGGTTGTGGGCAAAACCTCTTAATGACTGTCGAAACTCTGTCGAAACTCTAATGAACAATTAATGTGTAACCTGTCAAAACTCTGATGATTGGCGAAAACCCCAAATGCGAAACTCTGCCGAAACTCTAATAAACAATTAATGTGTAACCTGTCAAAACTCTGTCGATTGATTTCTGGAGGAGTTTCTCCCGCAACCTTAATTCACATACAAGGAAATGATTGAATAGCTAAGTCATGTTTGTTTTATTAAAGATGCATAATTAATTATATTTAAAACATACAATAAAAAAAATTGCATTGAATCCAAGACTGCATCACTATGTCAATCAAGCTATCAAGCTGTTATGTTTGTGAATGATTTAAAATTCTTTTGTGCTAATTTAGGGTCCCATCTTTCTTTGCTTATATATAATCTATTGGTTCTCCTTTTACTGGTTAAATGATGCCAAATTGGGTATTGGGGTATTCAGCAAATATCAGAATCTGATTATTCTTTAAAAAAATAATCAAAGTATTAGCATACTGATAAGTTAATAATATTCTTGGTATTTTTATCATATAGTCTAAAAGCCTATTAGTAAATGTTGAAAGTGTCAATATTTATCAGGTATTCTTCTAAAATTAATCCTATTTTTTAGTTAATTATTGGCTTAATTTAATAAACCAATAACTCTTTTTTATATTGTAATTAAGTTATTGGTTAAATATTTCTAAAGCTCTTTGTACTAAAATAATATCATAATCTTGAGCAGCAGTTAGGTTTCTATTCAAATAAAGTTTACTCGAATAAAACAAACAATTTGAGTAAAACTAATAAAACCAATAAAACCAATAAAACCAATAAAACTAATAAAACTAATAAAACTAATAAAACTAATAAAACGAATTAAATGAATTAATAGTTGGACGAATAAAACGAATAAAACGAATAAAATGATAATAGTAATAATACTACTAGTAGTGATGGTAGTAGTGATTCGCAAAAAGTACACAAATCACATCCAGTTAAGTAGAATATTAGATGAAGAGATTGCTAAATCAAAAAGCATAAAAATCTATACAAGTAATGATAGTTCATCAAATAGTCTTGATTTTAACCCACTTCTCTTAAACACCGAAGGTGAATAAAAATTTCATTATTAATTAATTTGAAATTATTATCCATTGGTTATTACTAACAATACTTTTTAATTGTATTAGATTCTAATAATTAAAATAAGAATCAATGAATGACTAATAATAATGCTTGTATGTTTGTCAAAGGGAAATTGACACCGATGATCAGAGGTTGGAGTATGATTTTCCGCGGCGATAAAAATGATTTCATCTCTGGTAATTTTATCTATAAAAAGGAATTGCATGATGTAATCATGCCGAAAAAAACAATCTTTTATTAAACTTGATTTTGGAAGATGTTAAATTGCAATTGTTCATGTAAAAATTGAATGGATTTCTTTCTTCTCTTCTTTGTTTTCTTGCTGGTCTTTAACTTGTAATTTATTTTCTCTTCCGTGCTGTGTTGGGACATTAGTAATAATTATTTACAAAGAAAATATGAAATTTTGCCGTCGCGAAAAAAACAAATACATGTCATATTAATTTTCAAAGGAAATCTTAGTAAACAATAAATAGATGAGAGAGATCTTAGCAAACAATAAATTAGAATTCACCCAATAAAGTTTAAGATGGACATTCAAAAAAAAAAAAAGGTTCTGTGAAACATAATTCGACACACATCAATAATGTCTCAATTAACTTCTGTAATTAAAAGTGCAAACTCTTCTTTGCATTCTGCTACTGTTATATTTTTACATGTAAAAAATGTTTATCCTCAATATATTAAGTATGTAAATAATAAATTAATATTCAAGAATTAATAATATATATATGTATATATGTATATATGGTATAGGGTTTAGGTGATAGCGGACATGGATGGGAACCAATTGCTATAGAAATAGGTGAAAAAATGGAACATGTAAAATTTGTGCTACCAAATGCGTAAGCTTATTATTATAATAATGATATTAATACATAAAGATAATAATAATAATTGCAAAGACTTAATTTATTTTCCTTGTTGATATAGACCAATACGTCCAATAACTATTAATGCAGGTATGAAGATGCCTGGATGGTAATAATTATGATGCTTCTCTTATCCAGATAAAATTGAATATGACAAACAATTAATAATTATAAATTATATCACAGGTTTGATGTTACAACTTTAAATGTAGATCAAATAAATGGTGTGGATGAAGATGGTGTGATGGAATCTATTTCTCAAAGTATAATATTAATATTGATGTTAATGTTATATATAATGCTATTAATATTGGAAAAAATATTTATTGTTTACTTATTTTTCAGTAAAAAAATTGATAAAAGATGAAATTGATTCTGGAATTGCTTCTAATCGAATTGTTGTTGGAGGATTTTCTCAAGGAACTACGATAGCTCTGGCTACAGGGATAACATCAGAATATCCTTTAGCTGGAATAGTTGGGTAAAATTATTCTTTTATATTTTATCTTCTTTTTTTGCCTTTTAACCAAAAATTTTATAAATAATAGATTATGTGGGTTTTTAAGAATGGAAGAAAAGACTATTCAAGTTAATTATTATTATTATTATTATTATTATTATTATTATTATTATTATTATTATTATTATTATTATTATTATTATTATT